CTTAGGAGCCACTTGTGATTTATGACTATTCTACATTGTCCGTCTCTTTTGTACTGTACCTATGCTGTAAACATGAATTTACAGGGTTTTACAGTAGAGACATATCCTTTACATAGGGCTGAATTTTATATCATACGTGGACACCTTTCTTTTAATTCTATCAAGCTGATGATAAAATGCAAACTAAATTCTGCAGCTCACTGCAGGTAAGTCAATAATGTGTTCCATCATCTACACTACGAATAGCCAGCCTCTCTGACCTACAATTTAATCAGCAGTAATGACATGGAGGATGCAGGAAACTGCCTCATCAAGACTGGTAGACAAAGTAAGTAGGTATCAATGCTTTCTGTTTTATGAGAGATGCCTTTCAAGAGCAGGCATTCCTTATCTTGAGAAATGTGAGCAGTTTACGCTTCATCAAAGGAGATAGTCAGTGGATGTTGAGGCTGTAGCAGCCAAAAATTTTAGTCGCCCGGACTAAAATTTTTGGCTGTTTGAGTCTCGATTGATTGTTTTCAATAATCTGCCAGCTCCGGTCATCAAAAGTCCACATCTAATGAGTTTTAATGCACTTGCAGGGTGTGCCAGAGAATTAATTATTGTATCCAATTTCCGTGCTAAATGGAACAGCTAATTTTCTGTCGCACTCTCATAGTGGGTAAATTTGTCAGGCGAGGACTCGGATAATCTAGACTTCAAGAGGCACTGATGTTTTATATTGAACAGCCACTCTGCATTATCTCCTATATGCGGTAAGCAGTGACGGAATTTGCGTCTCCAGGTATTGCAAATTTTAGCGAATGTATAGAGAGGTTATATCATCAAGTATACCCTGCATTAGTTAGCATCTCAATTTTATCAAACCAATGAAGTAGTAGTATAGATACATACCCTCTGCACAGGTCAATAAGAAAGACCTTGATTTGAAGAGTTTTATCCAAACACAGGCTTTGATGATTCGATCAACTTCTGACCCAGAATCAAAGAGACTTGATAAAAATCAAATTAAAGCTAATGCTTGAAGTCAAGTATCTTTGATTTTGTGACATTGAGTTGATTGCATTGAAGTGGTTTCATTTCAGTGGAGCGTAGCTTCTTTAAGTAGACACATAACCAAGACTGGCGGGTGAATGCGCGTTAACCAGTTTTCCAATATAAAGCATCACAAGTCTATGAAAACATACAGGCTTTAGGCACCAGTTGCATGATACACTGAGAAAACACACATCAACTCCGGAGGAGGTAGGCTGCCTGGCTGCTAGCAAAATTTTAGTAGAAAGTGGAAACGCAGATTCATTTCCCACCAATTGAGATCCCCGACACACATCATCGTATTGAGGGAAAGGATGATTTTCTGGTGGAAAGTTGCTGAATCTGATTAACGAGAAATAGTATCAAGGACTCACTATAGTGGGATATCATCAATCATTCATGAACAATTACTTGATTACTTGAAAAGATCACTAGATCAGGGCCGCTGGGAAGAAATGGCAGGTTGATCCGAGTACTTACTGTGGCAACTAAATTTATCAAGGGTGCGGGAATCATAAAAGGATCATATAGAAATGGATCCAGTTATCTTCGGCTAGGATAAAATAGATAGAAACATACATCGATTAATCTATCTTATTTTTATTATTTAAATATTTAAAACCGTATAATGACATAAACATAACCTGAATTTTTTTTTTTTTTTTTTTTTTTTTTTTTTTTTTTTTTTTTTT